GGCCCCCCCCCCGCCGCCGCCATCTTCATCATCGACGGTCTGACCCTTGCGGCGGCTAAAGAATCCGCCGTTAAGAACATAACCAAACAGAGCATTAACAGAACCTCTCTGGACGACATGGTACTAAACTCCCAACCAAACAGATTCTTCAGCTACTTTTCTTCTTCCTTTTTTTTTTTGTTGTGGGAGCGAATGAATGAATGAATGAATAAACGAATGAAACAATGAATCTATGTCTGCGTTTGCGAATATATATATGTGTGTATATATATATGTGTGTGTGTGTATCTGTAAAGTGTGGCGGAAATGAGGGGGAAAATAAGGGAATGAGAAGCGAAGTGAAGCGTACGCTAAAGAGACTTTGAATTTTCTATTTAATATTTTTTTGAAAATTTTCTTTCCGATTTTGTTGAGTTTCTTTTATGGAATTTATTTATTATTTTTCAAAGTATTTCGGTCGCCGGCTGCGACTTTTTTTTTTTTTTAACTTGTTCATTTATTTATTTTCTATTTTTCTTTTTTTATTACCAATTTGGTTTTTTTTTCTCTAATATTTCCGTTATTGTGATTTTTTTAATTGGTAGGAATGTCGTTGTGGTGGGAGCAAAACGCAATTGATAGTTATATATTTATTGGAAGTTACGAGAACTAAGAATTAATTGGAGTAATTTAAGTCGATATTAATTACGTTATAGTATATATAATTCTAATTGCAATATATATATATATATATATATATCACATTAACTATAAAAATAAGCTAAATCAATTAGGGAAGTGTTTTTGTGTATAAATCATAAATAAATATGGACCGTCGTCGTCGATTGTGTTGTTACAATATATATATGAGATTCGTTGTATCTTTGGCGATTAGGAAACACGTTCATATGATTAAATATTAATCTCATAAGAAACAAAGCAATAATTAATCATATAGTAATAAAATAAATTCATTAAGTTAACAAAAAAATTCATTGAATAGGTCATTTCACTCATATATATATATATATATATATATGCATATATATATATAAGTTCTCATGCAAAAACACGTTAAAACAATGTGTACCAAGAAGATCTTTTGCGTGAGAAGGTCTTGTAAGAAAGTGAGAGAGATGACACGTGGCATTTCATGATTCATCTGTTTGTTTTATTTCTTTATTCGAATTTGATATGGATATCAACCTGAATTCTACATGTAATTTGATATGGACCGACTATATAATATAACCTTCGATTTAATCTCCTTTCATATCCCATCAAATTAGGTTCCAACAACATACGTTCCAATGCAAACGTAAGTGGCCTTTTCCTTGGATTTTGATCCACAATCTTTTACGTGGGGTCACTAAATATTTGGAACCGAATAATATTTAATTATATAAAAAAATATATAGAGTAATTGCTTAAACCAAATCAATCAAATTCTTAAATGTGAAAATTATAGAAAAAGTTGAATCGAAATGATGTTTTATAAGATAAATATTTTGTAATAAAAACACAACTGTAGTAAAATTTGAAACAAACTAAAACTTCATACAAAATTCATTAGTTGGAATTTTTCGAAAATTTAAAAAAAACTAGACTATAAACAAAACAAAATCAGAAATATCAAAGCAGGCACCACTTGCACATTTATTCACATACAACATTTAATTTGCGACTATATTTTAACAAAAATATTCGGTCAAACATTAATTTAACAAATTTAGACATTTCTTCTTCGTTCGTTTTTATTTCTTTTTTTTGGGTTCGTCGTAAATTATTAAAATTGCGAAGCTTGCTGAAAATAGTCACATTGGTCTTTTTTTTGACTAATTATAAGAAAAATTCAAGGAATAGAGATATCACAAAACTGGATAGAAAATTTCAATTATTCAAATAATAAATAAAAACCGTTTTGTTTTCTTTTTTCAAAATAACATGCAATTTTATTACCCAACCGTTGGTGACCCCGTGGCGGAAAGTAGTGACGGACCGAAAATCATTTATAACTGGGGGTATAATGTATAATCGAAATATTGTACGAACAAATTTAATTTTATTATGGGGTATTTCACGATTTTGATTAAAAAATTATTTAATTTACAATGAAATTAAATATTCTTTTAGTTAACAGTGGGAAGAGATGTAATTTTTAGACCAAAATGGTTCATATACAGCGCCGTCTTAGAGCATGTGCAACCGGAGCATTTGCACAGGGTCCACAATTTAGGTGGGACCCATATTTTTAAAAAATTATTATATTTACAATTTACAAGTACTATTTATTAAAAAAATTAAAATAACAAATTTTTTTAAGTTTTGTTTAATTCACTTAAAAATATTTTTTACACTTTTTCAAATGACGTGGACCCCATTAAATTTATTTTTTTTTATAAATTTATAGTATTTAATATAAAATTAAGACCATTTTTTTCTAAATCATTTGTCGTAATAATCAATTAATAAATATTTTGAGTTATATGTAATCACCATATATTAAATTCATAATTTATTTATATTAATATCATTAAATTTATTAATTTAAAATAAAATCTATATTATCCTAGAATAACGTTAGATCTTTTAACTCTAATTATTAAAAAATTATTTTTTTATATCATATCATTCATTTTAAATATTTATTTTTAAAAATGATAAATCTTTAAAATATAATTTTTTTATATATTTTAATCATATATTATGATTATTTATTATTTCTAATAATATTATTATTATCACAATTATTGTTATTAATATTTTAATAATATTTATAAATTTAATTTTTTAAAATTAGAATTAAAATTTAAAAATAAAATAAGTATTTTTTTTTGTACAGGGCCCCGAAAATGTTTGGGACGGCTCTGTTCATATACAAAAGTTGATTCTGGACTTAAGGTGGATGTAGTCGAGGCAAGACCCGGAGAACCATCCTGATAACATTTCCTTGATTCTCTTAAAGCCTAAAATTGAACATATTTGCCTGTTTCTATATTTTGTTATACAAAATAAATATTTGAATATAAAACTGAAATCAAGCACAAGATTCTTAAAAAGGTTGACTTTTAAATTTTCCTACGCATATACATGTTTCGAAAAATTGCTTACAATTTTTTTTTTTTATTATACTTGTGCCTTGAAATGTGGAATTCTAACCACCACAGCCAACTAGGGGTGTAAAATGGGTGGGTCTAGCCGGGTTCGGATCGGGTTCAATTCGGGCCTAGAATTTTTCGGGCCAGGCCGGTTCGCCCATTTATTTTTTGGGTCTAGGATCGATGGCCCGGAGCCCGGCCCTACAGAGCTTCGGGCAGGTTCGGGCCGGGCTTCGGGCTTTTTATTAAATAAAAATATTTTTTTTGCGATAATAATAATAATAATAATAATAATAATAATAATAATAATAATAATAATAATAATAATAATAATAATAATAATAATAATAATAATAATAATAATAATAATAATAAACATTCAACACAAATATTTTTAAAACCGATAACAACAAAGTCATTTAGTTCACAAATAAAAATAAAATTGAAAAAATTATCCAATTGTTCAATTCTCCAACACCACAACATGCGATTAAAAACTTTGAAACGTGATAAAAAAAATAACAAACATAATATAAAAAGAAATTCTATCATGTAATTAATTTAAAACCTATAGAAAAAAATCAATATGTTCATATACAAACAAATGTTTAAAAATATATATATTTGAAAACTTCTATCCTTTCTAAAATGTAAACTTATATATATATGATGTAATATGGTTAAGAAATTCAAAACTCCCGTCACTTTAAAAAGTTTAATTGGAACCAAGATATAAAAGTTTATCATTTGGTTCAAATATATATATATATATTTGGCACACATATTTATAAGTATAGAGAGGTAAAACTTTGGTTTAGAAAAGAATGTTAGAAAAAACAAAAAAAAATTAACGGGTCTCAAGCCCGGCCCGAGACCCGACTGGCCCGGCCCGACCGGCCCGTAGCCCATTTGGCCCGAGGTCCGAAAGCCCGAAGTTTAATGAGCCTACATTTTTTAGACCCATGTCCTTATAATTTTCGGACGGGCTCGGATCGGGTTTCGAGCTCCGGGCTTAATTGACATCCCTACAGCCAACTACTCTCAGCTAAATGTTTTTATACTAAACTAAACAATATATATATATATATATATATATATATATATGTAATTAATAATTATTAAATTTTTCATGATTTAATAAAATACTTTATGCACTCAAAAAGTGGCCGAAACTCATGCACAAAAGAGAGAACGAACTAGAAGAAAAGTTGATCAATAATATGAAAAGGATCACTTGTATTTTCTCATTTATATTTCGTGGCCTTTTGTACAGATTATATAGAGGAGAAAACATGAAGAGAATGTACATAACGGCTATATACAATCAAGAGAGAAAGGAAAGAAATAAAATCTGGTCTAAGTATGGTAAATCTTAAGCATGAGTATCTTCGGTTAAGGTAAGCTTCTGTCTATGTGTGTGTGAATCCAATGCTGATTTTCTGCACTCCCAACGGCTACTTGCACATTTGTCTTGATCCTCCAAAGCTTCCATTTGAATCCAAGTCTCCATTTGCTTGTGTGTCTCCAAACCTTCTGATTGTATCCAAGGCTTTGGCTCCTTGAGTGTGCTCCAAGTCTTCTTTCATGGTTTTCTCTTGTTCTCCGAGTTGTACTTGTTATTTTGTTTCTCAACAATACTAACCTGAGAAAAACAAATAAAACATACGGCAAGATTATTATAGTATAAAAAGGTATAATTTGGTAAAAAGTGTAAAGAAAAGGAACATAAAATCGAAACCAAAACATAGTTCAATATATATATATATATGTAATATATTTTTTTTGTAATATAATATAATAATTTGAAGTAAGTAGCCTTTATTTCCCATCGAATATAACTAGTCAATTATTTCTAAGAATAATTATAACAATAAATGAAATGAGAATTCCGTACATCTAATGTTTATAAAAACATGAAAACATACGTTCGTATTCATTGTATTTAAGTATTTTCATTTTTTTTAAAAGATTGATGGATTAATACAAACAAAAGTTGCGATCGAATTCTTGGCATTGCGTCATGTTTTCTTCAATACAAGATGCGGAGACCAAATCAAAGACATTGATTTTGGTCATAAAAGAACAAGTTCAAATAGTGAATGAATAATGACATGTAACAAATAGCCGAAATCGTTTCACCACAAACTACCTAAACAAGGGAATGTATGTGTAATTTTAAATATTATATATATATATATATATATATACACGATAGTATATAGCATTGAATTAACAGTGTTTTACTTTTACAATTAATAAAATTTATCTCTATTTTTTTAATCAATCCTAAAAAAAGGGATATAACTTACCATATTTATTTCAATAATGACTTCAAATACTCGTTATATACGGTTATGTGAAATAGATCGTATGGTAAATGCTGCGGTTATCAATGTATTTATACACATTAAAATCTTGTACATTAACTAGTTCTTCATTTTCTTTCATTGTATACCTAGATTTATATATTTAGCTCTATAACAATGAATTTGGTTATTTTAAAATTAAATTGGTATTTATGCCTTCACAATAATATTTATGTCATTCCCATTGCTTATCCAAAATCATTGTCATATTTGATTTGTAGCAATCAAACTAATGTTTGTACGAATTTTTTTAATTTTATTTAAATATAAAATATAAATAAAATTTAAAATTGATATCTAGATAGTAATAAAAATATAAAAAATTAATATTTTATTTGTGTCTTCTTATATTGACCTTTTGAATATATTTATGTTAATTTATTTTTAAAGATTTTTTAATCATATTGCAATATATAGACACAAAATTAAAGAGAATTGAAAAGAAGAAAAGAGGTTATTTGATGGTTAAACGAGCTGAATAATATTTAGATAAAATCACATCAATCAATAATACAACATTTCAATTAATGATATGACAATATGATTATAAATATGCAGTCTTTTCAATGAACAAACACTCACTCATTGGAATTGCAGATATCATACATAGTTCTTTCCAAATTATGAATGCTTTTTAATTTCTATCATATTGGATTTTATTAGAGTAAGATTTCTAACTAATTTATACATATATATATATATATAAATGTATGTGTGTGTATGCGTTATTTAGGATTATTTTTACATTGATTTATCAATTGTAATACTTGCTTCTAATTAATGGACATCACTTTCTACATTGAATTTATGGTAGAAATATATTTTGGATTTCAGTAATATTTTGGGAATACTTTTTGGTTCACTTTTTTTTCAATTTTATAAAAATCGATTAATTAATTGAATTTTTATTTCAGTTATAACGGATTTAAGTTTGTTAAGGTTTATATAATCCAATTTGCTTTTGTTAAATAAAATTTCCATTTTAAATTTTTTTTTGATATTTTATTGTTTTTATATTTATTTAATTTTCATTTTGAATATAATTTATATATTGTTAAATGGAATTCGATTCGACTTTACAAAAATCATACCGAAATATCTCGAGTATAGTGTTTAGATAAAAATTTATATTATTTGGACTACTGTAATTATTAATGGTGGTCAATTCCCCACACCGGTACCAAAGTACGACCCACAGCTAAGCTAAAACTCTAAGTCCTATAATAAGATCTAACAAAGCGGCCCACGTTTTCTATTTTTTTTTTTTGGTGGATTGAGAAAAAAAAAACGTTGCCCCACGTCTCATTTTCAATGCATTAAAAAGCCATTAACTTCTTTTTCTTTTGCATTGAATGCTCCCAATTTGATAGACCATCTCAATGTTATGTATATATATTTTACATATTTTTGGTTGGGTCATAGGCCCCAATTACTTCATTAATTTTTTTATAAAATTTATAAAATTTTAAATGAAATTATTAAATATTTCGTAATAAATGACTCATAATAAAACTATTGCCTCCAATCACAATCACAAATATTTGTGAATCCCTAATGACAAATGTATAATATATATATATATATATATGAAGAAATCACAAAAAATTAATAATTAAGTTCCTGCAATTGTTGCAGAAAATCCCACCCACTAAGCATCTTCTCAACTGTTACTCGCTAGAGAGATTAATCTCTATACAAAAATATTGAAGGACAATTAAAGAAAAAGCTAATTTTTCATATCTACGTAATTAAATTTGTTTGGGGGTTATGTCGGTCCAAAATGATGTAACAAAGTTCTATGGAAAAGGAAAAAAAAACAAGAACATGTAGAATAGAATATTTGATATTTTGTTAAGCGATTGAGTGAGACAAAAGGCTACACAATTCCGAGAAATTACAACTATTACATCTACATTAGATGAAGATCTAAACACAAGTTCGGTTCTTTTTCTTCCTTCTAAAGATCTAAAACATGTTGCATCTTCTTCTCAAGCAATGCTCCAGCATTCAATAGAGAAGAAAGCCAGAGAAGATGACAAGGCGATCCAGAAAAATCCTAGAGAGACGACAGAGCTTGATGATCCCAAAGGTGCGACCTTTGAGCTTTTTATATCGACCCTTTTGTCAAAAGTTAGGGTTTGGGAGTTGGGTTCGGTCAAAGTCAACTCATTTGACTTGCATGGCTTCACTCCGTACGGAATGTGATCGCTGTCCGAGATTTCCCCATCTGGGTAACACAGGTTAGGGTTTCCCCACCCGCCGAATCTCCTCCCCATCCTCTGGTAGAACGTTCCAGAGAATTCCAGCTCTCCAGACATGTTGTTTCCGTTTATGTAAAGCGCGTTGAGACATGGCATTGCGGTTTCCATTTTCGGAATGAGTTTCCCTGTGAGTTTGTTGTTGCTCAGACCCAAAAACCTCAGCTTCTTGAGGTCTGCAATGGAGGAAGGGATCTCGCCTGTCAAGCCTGTGTTGGAGACGTCTAAAATGACCAAATTGCCCATCTTTTTCCACTTTATTCCCATCATGTCCCCGCCCAGGAGGTTGTTGGACATGGCCATCTCTTGCAAGGAACTCATCTCCTGAATCGCTTTGGTCAGCCCTCCTGAGAACATGTTGTTCCTCATGTCCAAAAGCGTCAGGTTCTTCAAGAACTGTAACTCGCTAGGTAACTTGCCTTCCAAGTTATTGTTACTCATGTCCAGTTTCAGCAGAGACTTCAGTCCTCCCACGCTTGATGGCAATGGCCCAGATAGAGAATTTCTGCTCAAGTCTAAGATCAGCAGTTCGGTTAACCCGAAGACCTCCGGTATTTTGCCTGTAAACCGGTTTCCAGCCAGTACCAACCGTCTCAACCCGGTTAGCTTGGCAATATCCTCTGGCAATGGGCCTGTTAACCGGTTTTCCAGCACGACCAGGGACTGCAGGTTGGTGAGGGTAGTGATCGCGGAAGGGATTTCACCGATCAATCCCGGGTTTGATCTGAGCTCCAGTGTCTCCAAACTTGTAGAAAGTTCTAGCCACTGCTCGTCCGAGATCGAAGACAGATATCGGTTAGGCGAAATGAAGCAGTTGAAGAAAGAGAGTGACTTCAGGTGCTTCAGATTGAAGAGTTGCGGTCTGATCTCCGGAAACTTAGAACAGGCAAGAGAGTTGTCTTGCACAGTACCAAAGCTTAAACCAGTTACATACCAGAGACCATCAAACATGTCACAGGAAACACCCTGCAGAAGAAAAAAAAAGATTTTTTTGTGATCAAAACATTAACTATGCTGCATATGTAATGATGTGAAACATTATCAAGATCATGAGTACTATGATACACAAAGGAAAAGGGTGGGGCTTTGTTCTCTGAGATTGAAGATAATCATTAATCTATCCCACTGGAAAAAGTTTCATGAAGATGGCGTAAGATTTTATAACCAAAATGGAATGCAGGAATTTGAAACTGGCAATACATACATAATTGCCATATTGGTTAATAAATGTCAACAAGGGATCTGTTTCTTTTTCTTTTTCTATTGCCAGCTTTTGCATGGTTGAATTACTTCCATGAAAACATAATTGGACACTTGCCATCTTCTTCTCCAGCTTCGTATGATATAAGATTCCAGAGATCAGAGAGAAAAAGGTTCTAAATTTCGTCTGTTCGATTCTTTTGGTGGAGTTTAGAGTCCAAATACCAAAATCTTGGTAACTGAAACTCATGGGTAGATCATTTTGGTTTCTCGTTATTGTTCATGAGATTAGGCTGTAAGATTAGGACACAGAGCAAAGTGTTGCCTTTCTCAGACAAAGCCTTAGCTTTTCTTGTTCTATTGACTTCGGAGGAAGTGAAAAAGAGAGAGAGAGAGAGAGAGAACCTGAATGGGAGTCCAACCACAAGGGTCAGGATAAAGGTCAGAGCCATTCCAAGAGTCACCGACAAAGCCCTGAATTGCAGAGTAGAGAGCAGCTTGCTCTGTTTTCTCCATGGGAGCACCTTCACTTTCCTCTGTTTCTCCCATCCCCAAACCAGACAAACACCATAAACACAGCAACAAGGCCAAGTATCTCCTTGTAGACAACACCATCTTCGCTTCAGAAGGGTATTACCACAGGTTGGAAAAAAGAAAAGCCGAGGGAAAAAGGGGATTGGAACCAACGGGCAGACAAATGGGCTGGCTCAAGTTCTTATCTTCCCTAAAAGATATTCCTTTTGCTGCATCTGTTTCTATCAGAGGAAGTGTTAAAGAAGGAAAAAAGAGGAAGAGGCTGAAGAATATCTTGAGGATGGATGAGAAGAGAACATCAGAATGGGACCCTATTGAAAACCATTCATGTTGGTTGATATATGAACAAGATTTGTCAATCAAACACCGAAAGGGTTCCTCCCTGGTAAGAAAGAAAAGCAAGAGAAAAAGCTCAGGAGAAAAAGAGAAGAACAGAGAACAGAGGAGCTTTCTTTGTTATCTTCTCTCTCTCTCTCTCTCCCCCAGAGAGATTAGGGTTCATAGAGGAAAGGCCAAGAATGAGAATCTGTCTTCACATTTTTTCACATATCACACATTTATACAAAGACAAAGACTGGTATCCACATGTCCGGATAACCAAACAAAGCTGGTTAAAACGTTTGGAGTTCTGGTTATTATGGATATATTTTCTGATACAAATGCAATTGTAACAACATATCCAGACAAATTCCAGAGCAAGAAGTGGGGAAATTAAGTATAAAGTTGTAGGCTTTAGGGTCTCGGGTATTAGACAACGACTCGGCAATAACCATTAAAATCAAAGGAAAATCGTTAAAGGCAGGACACAGTTCTCAAAGCAGGAGGAGGAGGAGAGAGCAATAATGGTAATGAAAATGATAAGAGGGAGGAGGAGAGAAACCATGTGGAGATAACGCAATTGAAAACGAAAGGCAAAGATCCACTCTCTTTGTAACTCTCTCTCTCTCTCTCTCTCTCTCTCTCTCTCTCTCTCTCTCTCTCTCTCTCTCTGTTATAATCTCTGAACTCTTGAGATCTATTCTTTTCTCTTTTAGGTTTCTGAATTTAGGTTGTTTTTCCCTGTAATTTCATTAATGGGTTCCATTATTTTGTCCTGTAAACGAAGGAAAAAAATGGTTAGGGCTCAAAAAGGTGGAAACTTTAACCGGTCACAGGAACTGGTTTGGTTGAACGGTTAAGTTTTGGGACCAATCTGCATGAGAAACAGAAGACAAAAGGGGTTTACATATACGCATGTATATGTATATATATATACAAGTGCATGCAATACAAGAGAGATCGGTCATCGCTTTGATCTCTACATATATACACATGTCCCTTCTCTTCTGTCCCACCCGCCAAGGCCCTTCTTATGTTATATGCATGGATGGACCGACAAATCAATGAAATAACTAATCAATACGAGCAGTAGTTACGTAGGAAACATGGGGTATGTGAAATTTAGAATTATATGGTACGAGTATTATAGTCGAGAAGTAAAAATAAACTTCTCGCAAAGCATGCTTTCATTTCGAGTTCAAATTAAAATGTGGGAAAAAATATTTATCCGAATTTCTCCAATCTTTTGAAAGATATTAGACCAAAAACCTCGTGAATTCCCGTATTGTAAAAAAAACTTGAACAAAATCTATGTCAGAATTAGTTAAAGATTGTGTATAACTTATAAACCGAAAACTTTGGATTCAGCAATTCACCTTAAGATTCATCCATTTCACTCTTTAGAAACGTACAATTACTTACTAAGCTTTATTCGTATAATTATCACATAATTCAAAGTCTTTAGAGTACGGTAAGTGGTAACTCTTAACTTGTTTTGAAAAAAGAAATTCTCGGGTCCCTTTTGGTTATGGGAAGAGGGCTAGTGAGAAGAGAACCAGACTGAGATTTTTTTTTTTTTTAAAAAAAAGTGGTAAATAAAAAGTATGAGAGGGTGTAATGAATAGTGGTAATGCATGGCTTTTTTTTATAAAAAAAAAATATTTTTTTATTTTTATTTTGGACCACACTATTGTCTTAACATTGAAATGTGGGGGCGTATCTACAGAGTGCCCCCTCCTCTTCTCTCTCATTAAATTTGGTTTCTTGGTAGATCCTCGTTATGAGTTGTGTAGTCCTTTTCTGCTTTTGCCACTTTGTGTTTTGGCCTTTTATTTGTGTTAATTTTTATGCAAGCAAGGTCCCAAAACCCACACCCCAATGGTCCATCACCCCTCTGTCATCTACTCTCTCTCCTTCTTTCATGTCATTTGGGTTGGTTTTGAATCTTTGATCTTCTCTTTGTACCATCGTCACATAAAAAGACAAAAAAAACTGCTTCTAGATTTGATTACAATACTAAAGATCTTGACTTTCTGAAAATACTACAACAAAATCCTTCATTCTCTCATTGAACAATCTTCCACTCTTTTAAAGATTCCTTCCCTTTTAGTCCCGGGAGGAAGATAGAGAAGAAAACCGTAAGTCAGGTTTTACATTATCATGTCATGGTCCATGATGTGGGATTGCATCCTTTCTAGTCTGAGAAATCAGGTGGTGAAGAAAGTCCATATCTTCTTCCCTATGGAAGCTTCACCTGGGTGCTCTGTCTCTTCCTCTTCTTCTTCTTCATCCTCCTCAATCATGCTGACATTCTCATCATCTTGCTCGCTCCCTCCTGCTTCCATCTCCAGATTTTCCGCTGGCCCGTCTCCTGTGTCGTCGTCCTTGACGTTCGTGTACTTCTCAACCTATGTCAAAACGGGCGATAAGAAAGAATTGTTAAAGACTTGACTATGAATATGCTTGCTGATGGGAAGCGTTAATGTTCTACGATGATGTAAAGGGGGTGAGCATTTGGATGCGCATTGACATATCTGCAGTGGAGGACAATCTCCATTAAAAGCTTCTCTCCTAATCAAGGATGTGTCACAAGTAAAAAACAGCTTATATTTGTTTCGGAATCATACCCTAACGATCCTCTCCTGTGTTATCACTTCCAGTACTTCTTTGTGGTTGCTGTTTTTACCGTGATCACTTTTCGGTAGAATAGGAGCATCCTCAGGACTCAGTATGGCTTTGGTACCACCATCAGAAACATCTTGTTTTTCCATGGCAGCTGAAGGGCCAGGGTCTGTTGATGCTTGTGCACTATCTTTCTCTACTCCTACACTGAAACCATCTCACACAAATTCAAGATCGACAAGATATAGAGAGAATGCATTGAATTTCTTGAACACGTTATCGCAATACCTTCAAGTCGATATTCCAAAAAGAAAAATTATAGACTTACGTTCTATGTCTTCTGAGGTGGTACCGGCTCTGCCCCGGGGTTTGCCCGACTGGTGCAGCCGTCTGTCTCCTCTTCCTACGTCCACCAGCTTTGACACTGTCTACACCCTCGTCACTATCACCGGCTTCTTGTTCAGCTTCTGTAATTTTAGAAGCCTGTTCTCGCTGTCTCTTCCTTGGAGTTTCTTCCTGTGAGGGCTTGGGATCTATAGAAGCAGCTTTTACTGATTGCATTCTACCTCTCACGGGCTTTTTTCTACCTCTACCGCGTCTAGGTTTATCACTCTTCATGTCTGACTGAAGGGATTCTTCAGGAGCTTCTTGAATTCTACTGTCTGTGTAACTCTGTTCAGTGGCAGATGGTTCAGGATCGTTGCCTGCCTCTGCATCAGGAATATCGTCAGCCTGTACAGATTCTGGAAGCTTCTCACCAATACCCTGATCAGTGACTTGATCCCCTTTTTTGATCGGGGATATGCTTAACACCTTGGATGCAAATTTCCGAAGCCAAGAACCGTTCTTGATGTTTCCAGAGTCGGGAGAAATATTGTCAACATGTTGGGCTTTTACCATCTTGTTGTCTCTTGGAAGGAGAAGTATATCTCCTTCTGATATATCGGTTATTTGAAGATCAGACAAAACAAACTCTTTGATCATTTCCCCACAGTTACTGCAGCCTTTGAACCTCTCCACAAATACCAGAAAGCATTCTCTTGCACGGACCAATTCTTCTCGTTGCTCCTTCAATCTGCCACTAAGTACACCTAGCTCGTTGATGTCATGGCCAATCTCAATTTGTTGTCCTTTCAACTTCTTCTTTTGGATGGCTATTTCCTCTCTGTCCTTTTGCAGAGCATGCTTCTCGTATTGCACTTCTTCCATCTCACTCTGAGTCAACTTCTTTAAATGGCCAATTTTATCAAGTTCTTCTTGGCTTCTTTTCTCAAATTCCATCACCCTTTCCTCAAAACCTCTATCACTTTCTTCCTCTCGCCTCTGCAGCTCTGTGACGAGATTCCTCCTCTGTTTCTCAAGATCTTGAAGCATCTGGTTTGTTCCATTTTTGGCATTTTCATACAAAGCTTGTTTATTTATCTCCATGGTGGCTTCCAATGATTCTTTTTGCATCTTAACACCATCAAACTCCCTCTTCAAATAGTCTCTTGATGTGATCTCTTCTTGTTTCAACCTATCTTCTTGTGAGAGCTGCAAATGTTTAAGTCTCTCCTTTTCATCGGCAATTTCCTTTTCTTCTCTGGCAATGTCAATCTTCTTTTCATCCAAGATTCCCCACTCTTTCTCAAATCTCTCCTTTTCTTGTTTCAGTTCTTCACGTTCCTTTGAAAGCAACTCCTCTTCTTGCTTGCATTTCTCTATCTGCTGCTTTAGTACAGACCGCAGCCTTGAAATCTCTAATCTCTCTTCTTTTGTAACCCTAAGACTATCATGTTCATCCCTAATTCTTGACTCTTGTTTAGCAGTCTCAGATCCAATCCCTTCAATCTCGTCTTTCAATTTACATAGACTTTCCTTGTCCTCGAGCAATTGCTCTTTTTCCATCTGGAACTTTTTCTGCTCTGCTTTTAAGGACTTTTCTTTCTCCTTCACAGCTTTCAGTCTTGCTTCAAGATCCTTCTCCTTCGCCTTCACTCTTTC